AATGAAACATGTCTTAGCATTAGAAATGAAGAGGTTAAGTGTTGGTTACTGACCCCAGAGAACTTTCCTGATCTGTCCGTCCTCCAGCTGTAAGGCCACAGTGCCAGTCTGAGAACAGTGAACCATACTGACCACAACACCGTCCACCTCAATCTCACACCTGAGGAATGACATTTTTTTTTGTTATAAGTCTCTTTGCAGGACAAAGACAGTGGCCACAGGAGCTTGTTCAGTTTGCGGACCTGACAGCGAGCGTGTCGAGATCATCCTGAGCAGGTCGGAGCATCTGCAGAGTGGAGGAAGTCGGCAGCAGACCGGAGCTGACACACACAAACAGCTCGTCCTCCAGCCACAGCAACTGCCGCAGGGCGAGAGGGTCATCATGTAGAAGTGGTACACTGCAGGACGAAGAGGAAGAGCCACACACAGTCAGGTGTCTACCAGGAAGAGACAGTATCATGTACAGTGTTGTAGGTCGTTGTGTTACCTGAAGGTTTTCTGGAGGACCAGGGGGCGAGACACAACCCGGAAGCCATCAGCTGTTTTGTCAGTCTGTTCTCCTGAATCTGGATTAACAAGAAAATAAGCAGGTAAATAAAAATAACACACAGTTAACAACAATATGAACCAGAGCATAAAGACGGACTGTTTAACACATTAAAACGAAAGAAGAAGAAACAGCTGAGAGATCATTTAACACAAGAAGAAGAAGAAACAGCTGAGAGATCATTTAACACAAGAAGAAGAAGAAACAGCAAAGAGATTCTGAAACACGGCACATAACCCACCTTGGCCGTAGACTGAGATTTCTCCATCAGTGGTGAACACTGCCAGCTGATTGGTCCTCTGAGGTCGGCAGAGGAAAGTCACCTGGTTGGCCGGTGACTTCAGCTGTAGCTCGAATGAGCACATGGGCGGAGGGACGATACCCTGCCTGAAGGTTGTCATCAGGATTTTATCTGAGGGGCATTAGACGAATATTAACATCACGCTGAATCCTGCCACAGCTCGACATGCTCCTCTCATTGGTCCTCACCTCCATCAATCACAGCCACGTTGGCGTTGTCAGTGGCGTCCAGACCGGGACTCCGCTCCGTTGTCCAGCCCCAATCGTAAGTGATGGTGGTCCAGTCTCTTCGCACCAGATGGAGCTTCAGTGGGCGCTCAGGGTCCCAACAAACAGAGACCGGAGCCTTCTGTGGGTCTCTGCTGAAGTTCAAACTCTGCTTCAGGTACCAGTGGTAGTTTCCTACCGTCCACAGCTGGACTGAGGAGGGAGCATCAACGAGTTTAACAAGAATTCACCACAAAGTGAATTTTTCATTCATTCAAAAATGTCATTTGTTTGTTTTCAGCTAATAATCACCAAGTATGCAGTATGCATTGAGTTTAGTTTAATCTCAATTGAGAAATATGGGATTTTGAAATTCATCCAAAACCTTCGAATCTGTTAAGATTTCAGACTATGTACTTTAGCGACTCCTAGTGGTAGTATCAAAACATTGTACGGTCATATTTAAAAGTCAGCTTTGGCAGAACTTACTGTGAGTGTTGACCTGTCCATCCTCTCCAGGCGTCATGTCCTCCAACCAGACAGCTAAGACTGTGGAGTCACTGTTCCACAGCAGATCCTTCACCTACGACACACACTCATCAGTCTAATAATCACTGTCCGCCAGATACTTCCACACTGATCCTCCTGAGTTTTATTCTAGGTCAGAGTTAGAACGTACCTTGGCCTGGTCCTTGCTGAAGGGCAGTGTGAATTCTCCGTGCAGGAGTCCGTTCTTCTCCATGAACACCACGCTGTGTTTGTTGGGATGACGTTGAGTGCTCGCTATCAGGCTGCCGGAGGGTCTGAAACCCAAAGCAGGCGATTGTAAATGTCTGAATCAGCCATTATCCAAACAGCTACATTTTTTTTATATTTATTATCAATTATTTAGGAAAGACACCAGGTTCTTGGTGCCCTCTTACTTCCAGCAGAGTGCCTGTTCCAGGCCGTTGATGGGTTCACTGGTGGCTTGCAGGACACCCTCTCTGTTCCACACCCGCACCTTCCTGGCTCCGGTCTGAGGACAAACAGCACTGACGGCAAACAGTTGACCGTCACCTCGCCACGTCACATGTGGCCTGCGGTCGTCCCACCCAGCTGCTGGCTGCACCTCCTGTGTGGCAAGTTTATATCATTCCAAATATTTCTATTTAGTTTTTTTCTTTTTACTCTGAAACCGTAGTCGAATACTGACCTGGATCTTCCTCTGTGCTGCCTGTTTCCCCTCTGAGCCGTGGAACTGCGTCTCCTTCTTCCCCCATCCCACTGTGATGAACTTTCCTGCAGAACACAAACATACAGAGGAACAAAAGCTTTATATAAACATCATTTGGTCATTTACAAATATGTGGGTCTTGACCCTTGGGTCGGACTCACTAATCTGAGCAGAGTTGACTTGGAGCCACCGTACCTTCACCAAAGTCATCCTGGTGGATTCCAACCTCAGTGATCGGCTCAAAATCTTTGGTCATCATGATGATTGTTTCCTGACCTTTAAATACAAATCATTAGTGTAATTTCATTTATTACATTTACTAATGCCACATATTGTCTTGTAAAGCAGAAGAAGTAGATAAAGGCCTTTAGCCCACTGTTGAAATGAGACCAGAACATTTTGGTGTGATGTTAACAATTCTATTAATAAAATGTTTTTGTTATATGTATACAGTTCTGACCAGTTGTGAGAATGACGAGCTCTTCATCAGGACTCCAGCTCATCGAGGTCAGACCGCTGTCCACACTGCCAACACACTCCAACTGTAGAACATGGTCACAGACATTTTGAGAAAACCTCCATTAACATCATTAATTTCTCTGTCCTTTATCCCACAACATCCTCAAAGCTAAATTCTGAACCCTCAAACAGCACTAACGAAGATATGAGGACCTGGCACGTGTTGAAGTTGAAGAGGACGACATCGCCGCCAACTGTGGCCACACATGCTGACTCCAGTTCAGCCAGGTCCTGAAGTCCGACCACCACACCACTGCCGTCCTCTGGAAGGAAACCATTCGCTGTCAATGAGGCTTCACTGACAACCTGCAGAGGAGAACAGAGGAAGGTTAAAAACGAGTGAACTAACTGTCACCTCCACTTGTAGATCACAATCAAGTTGAAATGCTTTGTAAAATCTTCAGCAGAAATAAATCCCTCAACATATTACTACTAAATTACTATCCTCGATGAGCAGTGACAATTAAATACAAGATTTAACTTTCACTAGCTTGAGCGGGGACAAAACCCTGTCAACAGCATTTAATCATCAGGCTCACCTGTCCAGTTCGGGGGTCATACTCTGTGATGGAGAGCTGAGAGGCGACCAGCAGCGAGCCGGTGTCGGCCCGCACACACAGGTGCTGCGGAGAGCCCGGACTCTGCAGCTCCGAGCTGCACAGACTCTTCAGCAGCTTCAGGTTCCTCATTTCACCTCAGGACAAACGGAGAACACACCGAACCCAAGTCTGGACCCAATGGCTGCAAAACACCTAAAACAGAAACATCAAACGTGTTCAGTGATTAAACCACAGACAGATAACTGTATAATATCAATCAATCAATCAATCAAACACAACTGCAGTTTATTTTTGTACACATTAACTATGTGTAATACATGTCGAGGTATTCTGTCAAACACATTTAGGTGTTGACAGAACTTCATATTTGCTGATCTGGGACATAACTTAACTTACAAAGAGACAAACATGAATCTCTTCAGTTCTTGTTTGAATACAATAGTTTTTTCAGACTGAACAGTTGGAAGACAAAATGAATTGTGTTCTCTTTCTTGTAAACACAACTGCTACGTTAGATGAATCACTAATCAGACACACACAAACACACCTCTTACAAAGCAGACTCTTTCAATCCAAATCTGGATGACAACACTTGAAGATTATCAAAAGGTTTGAATTGGAGTTGTTAAACACTTTTTTTTTTTAAATTCACTGAATAAACACTGACAATAAGACGTGTGCGTTCTGTCCGAAAATGGAACTGGAAGTGTTAGCTCACCGTTAACGTTGTTATGTTGTGTTGTGTTGTGTTTTTAGCCACAGAATCTGGCGCCTAAGAAAAGTATTAATGTGATAAAACAATGAAACTCACCGAGAAGAGATGAAACCTTTAAAATGTCAACAACACAGCAACACGCATGTCGAGCTGTCTCACTCAGGACCTTTCACCTCTTCCACAGCTGGGGGACGTGTCGGCTGTGTCGCCCCCTGGCGCCGTGGAGGAATTAAAAAAAACATAAATTGGGGTAAAGGGACTTTTCGTGTATTTCATGCGTGTAAGTAATAAGGAATAGTAACAATTATTAGTAGTGTAATTATAATTATGATAATAGCAATAATTGACCATCAAAAAGGAGGTGAAGGGATGTATAGACATTTGACATACAGGTTGGATGTTGCACACACTATTGATATTTGTACAACTGCTATGTATGACCTGTAGTGGAACAGCTGTAGCCCATAAATAAGATAAATACTATTAGTATTTAAAGATACAGTGTGTAGAATTAAAAAAAAAAAAAAACTAGTGAAAACATCATGAGGATTATTCCACATTAAATTTCTGCCAATAGTTCACTTTCACCTAAATCTTACACACTGGACCTTTTAGTGCTGTGAAATAAAAAAAAATGAAGAAACAATATTTCCCCTCAGATTTTTCTTGCTTTTATTCTCAAAGCATCATAGATGTCACATGGACCTCAATAATTGTTAAATGGACAATGTGTATCTGAAATGTAAGTGAAAAGTATATGTAAAAAGAGAAAATATAACTGTCAGTTGCTTATAAATAAAATGGGAATACTCTACTAACCTAAAATTAAGTAAAGCGTTTGAGTGAATATTTTTCTCGCTTTTACTCTGAAACCTCCCACAGCCATTCCCATGTTCCGGTACATGTTATTTTGTAGCGCAGTGACCGGATGTGCGGTGCGGTGTCGTCACGTTGACAGGCAGCAGGTGAGCGGGCTCAGGTGAAAGCTCTTTATCTCCAGACTGAGGCTGGAGCACGAGGACAGGACGCAGAGGACAGGACGCAGAGGACAGGACGCAGAGGACAGGACGCAGAGGACAGGACACACGGTCAGTCTCCTCTTTATCCATTCACTCAGCAGGTGGTCCGTGTGTCCGTCTCATCAACTCGAGGCTCCGCTGGTTTCAAATCCTGCTTCAGAAGCAGACATGTCCGCCGAGCACACAGATGTCTGAGGTAAATACATGTCTGCCTCGTCCTCGTGATGAAACCGTCACAGACGCTTGACTCGTCTTATTTATTCCCATGAAAGAGGAAGACTCTCACAATATGGCGAGCATAAAACACAAGATGTCAGCCAGATGTCAACCTGTTGTAAGGGTTAAATATTATTACTACACGTGACTGTAACATGTCCACCTGTTACACATGGAGGCTGCAGGTTACATGTGCACATTTTACACACACACGTGTGTCTTTTAACTTTTGTATTTTATAATTAAAGAAAATAAAAATGACCTGTAGTGGAACAGCAGTAGCCTGTAGTACTTGTCGTTAAACAGTGCAGTAGCTGTCATTAGTATGATGGAGTTTACAGGTACATGTGTGTCCTCAAATGTGTAATTATAAATAGTATTATTGTGGAGACGTGGTTTATTATGTCTGTGGAGTCAACCACCAACAAGTATCTCCAGACTTCACAGTGTGTTTTGAACAGAGTGACATGTCATGATGTAAATACTGCTCAGAATTGGTTTGGGAGACTGGAAATACTCATTGGTGGGTGACTCCATATATATTTTAAACTATGCTTTTACAGTAATATTATTTATAAGTACACATTTGAAACACGTTATGTAAAATCCCCCTGTGCGACAGGTGAACATGTTAGAGTAATGTTTAACCTCAAACCTGTAAAACAGTGACATGTTGTAAATTCATCTGTGACTCAGTATACTGCTTGTTGTTATATTTGTACGTACAATTTGTACCAATACATTTTATTATGGTGGAGGCATAGTTAAATATATAATGTGGAGGCAACCACAATCAAGTATTTCCAGTCTCCAAAATCTCTTCTGTGAAATAAGTCATCTTCATGTCTTGTTATCTGTGTGTAATATACTGCACTCTAATCCAGATTTAAAGAACATTAGAAACAGAGCTGATTAAATGTTTCTGAGCTGGTTGTTCACTCCAGAAAAAGAGAGCGAGACAGACGGGTAAAGAATCTTGTTTTGACCATCTCACTTGGTTTGTTTCGGTTCGCTTGTGATAAAGAAGCCAAGGATATGATGTGTCCTTCTGCTGCAGCTTCTGGAGTCCTGAGTGGAAGTGCACTGAGGGACGAATCCTCAGGTAATATTCAAATTAATGAGCAGTCCTTGGTTAAAGTCATTCTGGGCACCATAGTTGATATATGTATAGGTGGGTAGGACAGTTTGACTCAGATGTGGCGTATATTTTCTAAGACATGCACCAAACTCCAGACCCTCTCCTGAAATGATTGTGTGTAAAAACACAAATGTCAGAGTCAGAGCTTTTATTGACGAGGGCTGACACAGGTGTTGATTTGCTGAAAACAGAAGTTGAATTTAAATGTCATGTCCTTCCTCTTGCATGCTCTGCCCCGACGTCACCCTTCACCTGACTGTCTTGGGAATGTTCCCGTTGTTGTGAATGCGTCTGACTTGCAACTTGTGTGACTGAAAACAGCTTTACATTGACGTTCAGGTTGAGGAGTTGGAAGGAAAACGGTAATTCCCCCACTACAGTTCAACAAAAGAAGGTGTGACTGTGATCATAAATATCTGTTGTCACTCAGTCAACCTATAACAACTCCTCAGTCATCGTCAGTAAGGCTGTGGCAACATGACAATGTCAGGTGCAGGCTATTCAGTGCTGACTAATAGTCATACAATAAATCACTGCTGTCATTATCAGCTTTGTCATGTTCTCTCAGCTGTTTGTCGTACAGCCCGCAGCAGGAGGACCTAAACGTTAACAGACAACTTCCAGTTCAGCAAAGGACACCATCTTACTAGTGAAGGATCAAAGTTCTTTCCAAGAGGAGCACGTTACAGAAGAGATCTGAGTCTGTCGATCTGAGTCTGTCGGTGCCACGTCGTGTTGCTCTGGACTATTTTACATCACTGATTTACCAAGGTGGCGAACAAGTCGCCCTTTGGGCTTGCATTACATGTCTGTTGTATGATGGCGTGTTTTAGGCACACATCCAGTGTTGAGTGAGGAAGTCACCTAACCCAGTAGTTACAGTAAACATTCTACATTTAGACTTCTCACACAGTCATCGTCTCCTCTGTCCTGCAGGTGTTTGGCAGTGCTCAGTGTTGAGCAAGATTTTCACACCTGCAGTCGTTTATGGAAAAGTGCAAAGGACATAAAAAAGTGGAAAGTGAAAGCATCCAAGATCAAGTTCCTCATGGTTATTTCCGTCTTACTTATTCTATCAAGGACATGTTTTGCCTTTATTGACAGTCAACAGTATAAAGACAACAGGAAGGAGTCCAGCTGGGCCACCAGGGCGATACAGTGTGAATCCACGATTTTTAAAAAGGATTTCTTTCTCTCTGCTGCAACTTAAACAGTACATCTGAAATGAACTTAAGTGAGTGATTGCCTCCACCAAGGAGTTTATGTTTTCGTGGTGCGGATTCAAATAAAAAAAGGAATCTGGCAAATTTAAATGTGGTTTCGTAAGAGTAAGGTTGGGCCTTAGTGGAGGTATGTGCTCTGCTGAGAGCCATTCTAGTTGATCAGTTTAGCTCTCTTTTTAATAAGAAAAGGTATAACGCCTTTAAAGAGTCATTCTTTACAGAAATTGAGTAATTCTCCTTTTGATAAAGCAGGATTTGGTTGTGAGAACTATGTGTTGTTCAGTTTGTTAATTTCCCATTCAAGCCATCAGAAAGTGGTGTCTGTGGAGAGTAGGATAAATACCAACTTTGTTTACCTTTATTCTATCAGGTGACTTATGTTCATGAAATGATCCGAAGTCAGCTGATAGAGGAATCCAGCCCTGCTACATTCCTTCCTGACGTGCTGATCTGATTAACCTGATTATGCTCTTCCTTCCCTCCTCCCTCATTCCAGTCTCATCCAGTCTGCCCTCAGTGAATATCCTCATTGTCTCAGGCTGGGTTCCTGCAAACATCTAATTCTAATTATTCTGAGATGCACATAGTGAGATGTGTTTGTTTCACTATTGTTTTTGAGGGAAAATGGAAAATAAATGTTATCATCTGATGCTTTCGGAGAAATTGTATCAGAAAATAATAAGATGAAAGATGAACCAACTCCACATACCACAGATTTAATACCATAAAAACCTCTGAAGTGAAATGGAGGGTGATAGTTCCACCCTGTTATGTCTTGGATTTGCAGCAACAACACTTTCCACTGTACGAACAGATGATCTGTGGTGACAGCTTGATCTTGTGGTTTGGAGCCAAAATATAAACAAAACTTTTTAATGACACCCTCTTAAGTCCATCGTTAGCCAAGCTAGTGGCTTCAGAAATGACAATGCAATTTTAGGTTGCATGACCCTTTCTTTTTAAATCAAAGTGGATGGAAAGAACATTTTCCTTTTAAACCTTTCATTAAAATGCGTGCTGCTCTTTGGGTTTACAGTTTCTTTAGTTGTTAATTTAACAGTTTGAAATACAACCTGCATAAACCTTTTATTTCCGGCTGGAAAATGTCCAAAGGAGTGAGCTATAAATCTCCTTTTGTTTCCCCCTCTTAGAAAATCCCTCTGCAATTGGAGAAGGATGGTACGTCCCGCGGTGCTTTTGTTTCCTGTGCGAGTAAAACTTCAGTCACTTCAAGGCTCCGTCTTCATTGGTCCGTCCAGTGTTCCATGAGCTCCCTCTAGGTGTCGACTGATTGGTTCTTCATTCCACTTGGAAGACTTGTCGGCCAATCGTCCTCTGCCTGGGTGAGTGGTGCTTCCTTTACCCACCAGCTGCTGCAGTCAATCAGCTTATTCAGCAGCGTGCATGTGTGAATGTGTGTGTGTGTGGCCACCCTTTCCTCACCCCCTCCCCTCTTTTCCTCTACAAAACATCCAGCCAACCCATTCCACTACCATCCCCCCTGTCCTCACACACTCATGCGCTGTCTTTCCCTCCCTCACACGCACACTCTCTCACACACACACACACACACACTGGTGAATATACATTGAGACACTGCTGCCACATGAGGCCCAGCAGCAGACTGCTGTGTGTGAGTCACTGGAGAAAGTTACACCAGCGTGTGTGTGTTTGTGTTTTCCATGCAGCAGCGTCTCCCCTGCAGCAGTTTCCTGCCTCAACTGGGACAGAGCACAGCGACAGAGGGGAGATCGAGCCGCACTGCAGCTGAATCAAGGATTCTGCACAAGGTAATAATAATAACGGCCTGATCTCATGTACATGTTGTTCTCAATGTCACTCTCACACATAGTTATGGTGGGAAGCTTGCTGTGGTTTTGATGGGGCTTGTTGGCAGCAGATGTCAAAACCTGAAGCGATGACAAAGTGGTTTTGAAGGTAGAAAGTTCTTTATGCCCGGTTCAACTGTCTTCTATATAAAGAGGTAATAAGTTTGACACATGAGTCTAGCTAGCTAAGACCTCTTTAGTAGACTTAACATGTAGAGTTATATACTTTTTCAATTAAAAAAAGAAGATTAAAATGTGAAAACTCAACTCAATACACAAGCAACCAGTCGAGAAAAGGTCATTCAGTACTGTAGGACCAGCACTATTCAAATTTAAATAAGGTACTGGAACAGCTTTCCCACTAACCCGAAAACCATTCGTGGGACAAGATACATATGTGAGGCAGGATTGGATCAAAAACATTTCAGTCCATCATAATCTTGCAGATTTTTCGACATGTGTATCTTTTGATACCCTAAATAGTATATATGAGATTGCTGTGATATATTTTGCACCTGACCAAAATAGTGTCCCACAAATCTGAGACATCTGAAGGTCTCTGCAGGAATGCTTCAGATTGGATGTTTGATATTTTGCGTTGAGAGTTGCATCTTGTGCCTGGTGTTGTGATAAAGTGAACCACGAGGGCGTCTCCACTCTTAAGAAGATAAAGGGCATCTTGACATGACTAATTGTGACCTAGACTATTATCTGTTCGCTCATATTTAGTATAAATACTGCAGAAACATCAGTTAATCATGTGCAGTGATATAAATACACTCAGGTCAGGAACAGCAGTAGCTTACAAGTGAAACACACGGCGCATCTGAAACTAAACTCACTCTCGCACAGAGTAAAACCATTTCAATGCGGCGGTGCTTATCTCAGATCAGGATCTAACTTTTAGTGCTAGGCTATGATGCACGGATGTAGTGCTGAGTCATGTTGCTGATGTTAGAAGTGTTAACTGTCATGAGTAACTCCTCACACCGAGTTTATAGTTTGATCACAGAGTCAGAAATAAAACTGTCATTAGAGTCGGTCCTTAGAATCCACACAAGCTGTTCAGCTGAACCATGTAAAGGCTAATTTTCACAGCGGTGGCAGCATTAGTTGCCCTGTAAGCAGCTTGCCAGCCTCCTGGTGAGTCGGACATGTGGTGTTCCAACTCAGAGGATTCATGACAATGGGTCTCCCCCCTCACTGCATGTTTCTGTGCCATAAACAAAGCCATTTCATCTGTAGCTCTGCTGCTGTGTGCTGGTTGATGCGGTTATAAAGGCTAAATTAATATGGGTAACTTCAGCTGTGATCCTCAACCTGTTCTGGGTTGTTTTTTACCTTTCTCTGCCTCCCTGAAAACTTTTGCATATCACTTCTAAGTTATAAACCCTAAATCAAATGCAGGAATGTTTGAAATTCTAAGAATTTTCCTATTGAAGACTCAGTCTGCACCAGATGTTAGATAAACTTGTCCATAACTCCTTTTTTCAATTTTGCTAAAGGTTACAGCCTGGAAATAGAATCTGAATGACAATAACTCTCCTCCTACCACTTGCTCCTTTCACACTGAGTAGTGAAAAGGTTGCTTATGTAACACCGGATGTTTCCAACAGAACAGCAGAACAGAACAGAAATCGTGTGTACATTTGTTTCAGGGCCATACGGATGTAGCATAGACATGTGAAATGTGCTGTGTTTGTCTCTGGCGCAGTTTGGACAACACAGCTGAGTGAATACAGGATACAAGGTTCTGCTGTGTCTATATGGAATTTGACAGTCGAATACATTGTGGAAAGGGTTAGGGTTAGGTTTTCCTTTCTTGTATAAAATGAAAATATATCAACATGGTCTAATCAAAGTGTCTCTTTCACAGTGATCTCCATCATGGAGGTGCCCAGGACGCGACAGCCCTCCTTCACGTTGACGTTCCCCAAACCAGCCTCATCTGCGCTGGCTTCCTTTGGAGCTTTACAGCAAGTCACCAACACAGATTCAGTGAAAGAAACGCAACAGGAGACAGATGAAGCCACGGGAAAAAATGAATCTGGAGAAGAGACATTCAGCGCAGAAGCTGAGGAGTCTGGTGTGTCTGTTAAAGCCCAGGCTGAGACCTCGGAACCTGTAGATTCAAACTCAAAACTTTCCGCACAGGATAGCTTCTCAGAGGAGACTTCAATATCGGAGGAGAGGTTAGCACAGGAGGATGAAGAGGCCAAGAAAGACTCTGAAGAAGAGGAAGCAGCAGCTAAAGCGAGAGCAGCCCAGAGACAGCTGATGGCCATCGAGGAACTGGTCCAGTCTGAGAGGAATTATCTTCGACTGCTGCATGTCAGCACAGTGACCATCAGGGGCAACCTGCAGAAACTACAGGTATTCCTGAAGTGTTAATATTAATGTTTGGGGAAAACTAAGAGTAGTCCTGGTTAGGACAGTTACAGTTGTTACAGGTTAGGTTTATAAATTGCGTGTTTAACACACAAAAACATGCTAACTCTCATTTAACTACAATTTTCAAACAATTAAGTAGCATTATAAACTTAAGTATTATAGATATTAACAGTTGTGTTATCATGTCTTTGTTGTGATTGTTATGATCATGAACCCTTTTGGTTTTGCCCTTAAAGAAAAAGTAACTTTTACTTATAGAATCGGCTCTGCAGCATCCCAAGACTCCTGCAGAGGCCGCTTCTTGGTTTATTATAGTTAGCTTTTAGATTACATCTGAGGAAATGCTTATTACTGTTAAATAATCATTTCTGACTGTTGTAATGAAATGAGGCCTCATAAAACATAATACAATCAGGCTTTATGGGCTGAGTGTGGATGAGCATGAAAATGACAACACACAGAGGGAACACCGGATGAGGGGAAAGACAATGAAATGAAAATAGAAAGAGGGTTTAATTGGGTTTCAAAATGGAGATGTAACAATGTGGTTGAATAAAGTAAAAGATGAAAAATGAAGGGCTGCAAGAATATGGGTAAAGAAGTATGACGGATGGAAAAAGTCTTCTGGAGAAAGACCGACAGAAGCAGCAGAGAGGAAGAGGGCTGAGCAGAGAGATAGAATTCATTTAGATAAATGAAGCCATTGTGAGACAGAAAAGTGGCCGGCTTGTTTTCTGTGGCAATCTGCAGATTGTTCAGTCTGTCGCCGGTGATTGTTCCCACTGTTCTTTCATTACAATAGAATGGAGCAAAACAAAATTCATCTCATCAGCTTCGCATTAGCATTTATTTACACAAAAAGCAGCGCACGTACACACACACATGTACTGTGGATGTTTGCTACATGTGATAAATAAGCATTTTAAGTAATTGTAGCTATTATAATGCTATGCTGCACAGCCTTCACAGTGTTTTTTATGTTTTCTGTTGTATTTTTGAATAGGTTTTGTCTCATTCCTGTAATAGGCTTCATTAATTTGCTTGTATCTTTCCATCTGCCTGTAAACTTTAGCCTCCTTTAGCCAATCTGGACAGTATGTTTCTCTACATTGAGGATGTGATTGATGTGTCGAGTCGACTCCTCAACTTGTTGGACCAGAAGCAGGTTCGGCCTGAAGACCCTCAATTCCTGGAGACACTCTGTAAGAGACTCAACTTCCCACTTAAAGCCATGCAAATGTCAAGTATAATCCTCCATTTAGTTTTTTACATGTTTACATGTTGTTAAGTCGTTGCTATTAAATTGTTGTAAACATGTTTTTCCCCTGACCCTGACAGGTGCTTTGTTCCTCAGCCTGTCTTCAGACATTGAAGCAGCCTATAAGGAATACTTGGCCAACTACAACCACGTCACAGTGGTGGAAAACAGCTACAAACAGAAGGAGGGGCTCTGGAACGAGATTGTCAAAGTCATCAAGGCCTCAGCGTAGGTTCATCCCGTTTTTTGAACTGTTTAAAAAACAGTGGAATAGTTGCTTCCGTTCCTGAAGTTGTCTGATCGTTGGCATTCATGTCTCCAGGCCTGAAGTGAATGCTACTTCTCTGAGTTTCTTCCTGGTGATGCCGGTGCAGCGGATCGCCCGCTACCCTCTCCTCCTGCAGACCATTCAGAAACACACGGATCCGGCTCACCATGCTTACGCAGTCCTGGAGCAGACCGCTCACACCTCTATTGCCATAAACTGTCGAATCAATGAGTACAAACGCTTCAGAGAAGTTGGTAAGTCAGGTTTCTGCCAAAACTTTCCATGAGTAACACAGAAGAATAAGAGTGCATATGTTGTTATGTTCAGTTTTTTTCATATTTGTTACTGGAACATCTCTAGATTAACAGGTTTTTGTGTTTTGTAGCTGACAAATACAAGAAGACAGAAACCTTAACCATCAAAGACAAGATCAACCGTCTCAACTCCCACAGCATTGCCAAAAAGACGGCGAGGCTCAGCCAGCAAATCAAACACGAGACCGGAATAGTTCATAAGGTTGGATATGAAGTTTATAGCACTATTTTAAATATCACACTTGAATGCCCTTAATCAACACAGGATCCCTGCAACACCAGGATGCTGCTCTGGAACTGTCACCATCAGAGAGACGAGCCAAACGCATCAGAATGAATGAAGCAATGCTATAAGTAATGCTTACAGAATATGTGTGAGCGATAAATAACCTTCCAGTATACACCCTCACTGCAGTAGTTAATAAATGACCAGTGGAGAGATTCATCTGCAGAAAAACATCCGATATGATCTGTTATAAAAAAAACCTGTTGTTGACACTCGTGTTCCACACTCTGATACATCACATTAAATCCTTTCTGTTGCAGCTGGTCGATGAGGAGTTTGACGCCCTGGAAGGTTTTTTCTACGTTCTGGAGCATGGGATACTGGAGCTGCTGGAGAATGTGGAGACATACCTGCACCATCTACAAGTAAGCTGCAAATGTCCAAGGTTATATAAACACGCAGTTAATGATTTAATTGAACCTTCTGCTGTTGATGTGTTAAATCTAAATACTGTTATGCAATGTCTATTTTTCTAAGTTGAAGGATGTTTGGGGAAGAACAAAGATAAAATATTGTCTGTGAGGAATTATTTACCTAGAAAAAGACACTAAACCACAGATTTCCAGCAGCATCCTGTCAGTGCACAGTTCATTTAACTTTCTTTGCTTTTACCTTCACATTGCAGACGATCACACTGTCTGAATTAAAGTGTTACATTTTCATGGTTTTCATGGTGACTGCATCCAGGCTAATGTCCTTTGGTGCTGGAATTCATAAAATTGTAAAAAATGAGTTTTAGTCGTCACTATTGAAATTACAAAATGTATTATTAGTTGCTTGCAAAAAATCTGTGTCGCATTCAGGGGGAGCATCATGTTGTCAATGCTTTGAGAGCCACTAGAATTAATTTGATCCACTACTGCATGCTCAACACAACAGTTGGCAGAAAACAACTGAATGAAGGCAGAGAAGACACATTCATTCCCTCCCATTCAAATATAATCAGTCCTCCCAGTGACTGTAAGTCGTGATTCTCTGGTCACTTGTGACTAATGGAGAACTGGAACAACATGAACATGTCGCAAAGTGTGTCCGTGAGTCACGCTGTGTAAATTCAAACCCTCCTTAAGTCCCTGAGGTCAAACACACAACTGTACTGTGTACCTTTCTAAAATTATCCTGTGGAAACTTGTTTTCCCACTAAGAGAGGTTATTTTTTACCAGGCCCGGCAACTTGTCCTCTTCCTGTGACCATCAACACGTCTTAACGTCTCAATTCGACATGACAACCTTAAACTAAAATAAGGAAACACTGATCAATTCTAAAATCTTTTTGTTATTCAGAGATGGAGGACACCTGAGCAGTGATTGACATCTTCCACTTTATTTGACTGCAGGGGTTCCTGGCCTGTAAAACAGAGGAGTTTGACTTTGACATGGACGGAGAGAAGGCTCCTATCTGCTACAAAGAGATCACTACAGCGCTCAGACAGTGGATCCTTCCTACGTTTGTGAGTCAAACAGACAATCTTATCCAGATATCAGTGTTGGCCCAAGTCAAATACTTTAAGTTAAAGCAGCAGTACATTAGTGAAACAAAGAATTATTTCAGTTAATAAGACATTTAATCACTAAACCTATTATTTAGTCGCACATTGATTATGTTGTGCTGGTGAAAAGAGTTCTTTTTATTCATTCATTGGAAGTTCTTTGGAAAATTAGATTTTTCATGCTAAGTTCCTCCAGTGTTTTCTTTTGATGTCAATGAGATCCTGATTTAGTTCAAACAAGTGTTATACGTGATTGCAGCATCAGATTTCTCTCATCTTCTAAAAATGACCGTAATTGCTCCTTCCCTCTTTGCTTCCAGGAGAAGAGGATGAGGACGTTGATTCACAAACCTCTGTGTGCACTCCGTGACCTCCTGGTGGGCCCGAGGAACCTGATCAGGAAGAGGCTGGACAAGCTGCTCGACTACGAACTGATAGAAGCCAAATCTAATCTGAGCTACGAGGAGCAGGCTGTGGCCAACACCTACAGGTACAGAGAGAGAGAGGGCATTTTAAAATTACAGGCTGAACCTTTGGTTGGAAAACCTGACACATAATTACAGTGGGTTACAGCGTCAATCCACAGACAGAGTGAGTACATGTGTCTGAACTTTACTTACGTGATGTCCTAACACTCATCAGTGTTTTAACATAAAGATTATACAGGACATTGTGAGACACGACGAAATGCTGGACAAGTCAAAAGAACTAAACTTCATGAAATGTATATATACTTAGTAGATAATTAGCAAATGTAATCAACTGAGAAATGGAATTTAAAGTTCAAGTGGTTGTGAGCACTGTCTGAAATAATTGTTTGTGGCAATTACCCACCACCAGTTTATTGTTGACTGAACTTCCAGTATCAATGAGTCTTGTTGCCTGTCATGTCCAGTAATACTGTTGTTATACTTTATCATTATTTCCACTGTGGTTTAAATTGATGTTCTTCTTTTTACGAGTTTTATTTGCAGGAACATTTGTTTTAGTTTGGCCGTTGTCACCAGTTTAAGTAGAGCAGGATCCATTTCAGTTTTTCTAATGCTATTAAATATTAAGCATTTTCATTATGCTTGAATAGATGATACATTTTTTTTTAATATAAAAGTAAAACCAGCCACAAAATAATGATAAATTGTCAGATTTATACATTTATTACATCAATGTATAAACATAAAGTTGTCGGCTGAACCCAGAACAACTACACCTACCCCTCTCCCAATATAAAATTATTTAAAAACATGAACAAGCACCAAAGTACAAGTAAAGTCCAGTCAATTGTGGTGTGAAACCATAAACTACACTATTTTTACTGCTTAGTTTTATGAAACATCACAGTCCACATAATTGCAGCCTCTGGAAATAAGCTTGTAGAGCACGTTTAATGAAAGGGTTGAACATAATTCTGCCCAGTCTTTTGCAGTGGTCTTAAATTTAATTTAATTTAAGGTAAACCTCTGCTCTTTCTTCTTCTCTTAGGACAATCAACACTCTGCTCCTCACTGAGCTTCCACAGTTTAATAGTGTAGCTCTGCAGATGATCTGGAGCATGTTGGGGACGTATAGCTGTCTGCACAAAGACCTCGCATCAGACATGGAACAACTCTTCCAGAGCTTTGCACAACAGGTAGATAATCCTGTAGTCACACATGTAGATCCACTGTGCCCCTGCAAGAAAGTATAAGAATCATTTCAGTTACGTGGTCAACTCAGTTTCTTGCATGGAAAAAAATCTTGAATCTTTCTTTCAGCACACTACTTTAAAATGTTAAATATAATCTTCATGCTTATTTTGTTTGTTTCCTTGGGTTTCGTCTCTCTCTTCCTCCAGCTGCCGCACAGCTCGCTCAGCCCTGGTGCATTCTGGGAGTGGGCAGAGTCCACGGCGTTGAAAGAGTCGAGGAGGCTGGAGACTTTGTGTCGAAGTATAGAGGACACACTCAACTCGCCTTTCGTCCAGGTTAGAGTTGAAATAATGCTCTTGTGTTTATATTGTGCTTTGCTGACTCTAGTTTTGAATTAGAAGAAGTGTGACAGGTCATTATGAAATTAAAGTGATGGGTCACCGCAGTCCACGTTAATGTGAAACTATGCTTCCTGCTCAGCAACATGTCCTGGAACAGGGTTCCATCCCTTAAACCTGCCTGACAGAATGTATAAATAACCTAGTGTGAGTGCAGGTTACAGCCATGTCATGCTTTGTTTGTATTCACAGTGGACATAGATTAGACTTGAACAACTTCATTACAGTGATTCACATATGCAGCTGTACGTCATGTCTGTGTAATCATGAATCAGTCAGACAGCAGGCTTGTGAATGCTGCTCTTCTCGTTCTTCAACCTTTTTTAATAACTTTACGGTTTGATCTTAGTCAGTGACAGGAACTGTTCAGTGTATTTATAACCTGTCACTCAGCGCAAAATGGTTTTATTTTCAAACATGTTCTATGAACAGATTAAGATCTTTCAAAACATCGTCTCTATCGCCTCTTGGTGGCTGTTTTCAGTATTGGTCCTAATCCCCATGTCCTGCATGTTGGCAGATGGGATGTTGAACAAACTGCAAAAATACAAATACACGTTCATTCAATTTTCTCAAATGTAGTTTCTGTCATTTAGGTACTTATCACAATAATGTATTGTTTGGTTTGGTTTTAATTAAATGTGGGAGGAGCTGGAGATACTTTAATTACAGTCTGTGGTCAGCAGCATGAGCTCATCTAATTAAAATGAAATATATCTTCAGTTTGAGGTTTTAAGTTTTTCTGTTTTCTACCAAGAGCCAACAATTTTAAAACAGCCCATTAAATGTCTTAATATAAATGAACTCCATGTTAAATGAATCTTTAAATCCATACAGTCATCACTGAGGAATAATTTCCATTAACCTACACACAGTTTATTACCTTTATTACCTCTCCATTACTACACTGACCATTTTCTATTCTGCTTAGGCCTCTCTTATCCTTTCTGCCTTTGTCAGATCTAATTAACAATCATCCTCGTTACATTTCACCCTTCTTTCCTCCTCTGCCTCGTCAGCCTCTGTGCCCATCCTCTCAGCACCGTCTGAAGCAGCTAACAGACAAGCACGGTTCTGGAAAGATCTACCAGGTGGTGGGAGCTGTTGTGGGGAGCCGTGACCTGGACCTGAACCTGGCCAAAGGGGAGCTTGTGGCCATTATCAGCGAGATGGACACCCGTGGAGACAAACGCAGATGGCTGGTTGATGCAGGAGGTACAAAGCAATAACATGTAGAGAACATGAGCAGTTTTCTGACATGTATGAAGAACTCAACAAACTGTCCTGTGTGCCTTTTAAATGTAGCTCGTGGCTCCCATCTGGTGGTGGATTATTGTTATTACCAGTTTTTAACTACTGAAAAAACCAAAGGGAGTGTTAAATCTAGGATTAGTCCAGAGATTACAGTGTTTACAGTGAAGTTTAATTAGCTTAAAAAAACATTAAGTTGCGATATTATCTTTTAAGATTAAACTTTTAATTTATTGGAGGGAATTTATAACTTAATCAAATCATGTTTTAAATTTTGGTTATATGTTTTATTCTGGTGTTATTAACTGATGCAAAAGTATAAAAATATTATTTAATGTTTACAGAGTGTATAAACCTGCATATAAATATCAGAGTTCCCTCTTGTACATTCTATGTGCATCACATGTTGTCATCTGTGACTGTTCCACGCAGGCAGAAGAGGCTACGCTCCTTCCTCAAAGCTAATTCGCTATCACCAGCCAACAGAGGACCCACCCCCTTCGCCACACCTGACCTTGCCGGAAGGCGTGACGGGAATCAGAAGACACTCCTACACCCCAGAGAGCCGGCCGCTGGCGGTCATTAGACAGCCTTGCTTCCAGGTGATTGATTAATTGATTGATTGACTGACTGACTCAGCATGATGGAAACTTCACATTAACCTCACAGGGTTCTTCTTCAATGCAGATGATCTGATTAGAGGTTGTAGCATGTTTCTACATACATTTCCATATTAATGACATTGAAACATGATCTATTAAATCTACAAACCCCTGCATAGTTGAACATGCATTTTATTGACGTATAAAATATGAGATATGTCGACAGAAATGTTAAAGGCATCAGTTAGATTATTTTAGGCCTCATTAGTTTAGTTATACATCACAGAGCAGCTCATGTGCTGCTTGTAAATGCCGTATGTATGAAAATCAGACTGAAAATGACATGAACTTCAGTTTGCTGTCATGAGTTTAAATAATCTGATCGGACTGCAAACTGGTGAGTGTGTGTGTGTGTGTGTGTTAATTTCTAAAATCTAAAGTTACATATTCTGTGTGTGATTGAAGAGTTGATTTATCAATGCTGTAGCGCTCTGAAACCAAAGCATCAATCTGTCAGTTGTGAAACCGTGTGTGTGTGTGTGTGTGTGTCTGAGTGCAAGGAAAAGACGGGCAATCCTTGGTTATCCAACCATATACAAGTGCATTCATGTGTGTGTGTCCTTATCTGTAAAACAGTTTCCTGGAGTGTGTGTTATTAATGGAAAGGTCCATAATTAGCTGTTTAACCTTGTAAGTGGGTTACTGTGTGAAGGGTTGAGAGTTAATTTATGCGAGGCATTGCTGCAAGCTGAGATAGGTGTGTGTGTGTGTGTGTGTGTG